GCTGGGCTGGACCAAGCGTCTAGGCCGCCCAGACCCGCTCCTTCCTGAGTGGCCAGGTAGTCCCTCTGACACAGGCAAGACCACACAACAGGCTGCCCCACCAGGTTGCAAGATGCCAAGGCTGACTCCTGCCGGATGGGCCCCGGAGTGGACACCTCCGGAAGAGGAAGGTCCTGGCTCTCGCCAAATTCTGGGTTAAGATTCAACCCTCCGGGGATCGGCTACTCCTGGTATGGAGTGCACCGGGCGTTTGACCCCAGCCCGCCGTTGGGTGTACAGGGGAAGTGGGAAGCTTCCTAAGAAGCAGCCTGGGCGGGGCCTGGAGGAGGCCCTCTGGGGGAGGGGCATTCCTGGGGGCAAGAGGAAAGAAGGGGGAGCAGGAGTCCCCAGGGGACCTGGACGTTGCTCTGCAGATCCAGAAGGAGCCCGCAGCAGGACGGGATCTGAAGCAACACAGAAGCCAGTGGGGACACTGGTGTCACCATCCCGAACGAAAAAGGGCAGACACTGAACACAGTGGGAGGTGCCCTCCGGGGAGGGGAGGCTGATGCCACGCAGGCTTCCAGGGACAGGGGTGCTCTGGGAAGGAGCCCCTCTAGAGCCTACTGCTGGGAAGCTGGAGTCCCATGTCTCAGGCCTTTGGACTTGGAGCACTCAGGTGTGAGCTGCTCGCTGATACCTGCTGAGGGGGTCTCACTCTTTGCTGCCCCCAAGAGGCTGTGGCAGCTGCTGATGGCTCCCCACAGCCTCAGAGGTGGGTCCCACTCCCCTCTGCAGCCCTGGGGATCTGCTGCCCTCGGTCACCAGTCCATCCAGCCACTTTCCACCATCACCTGGCACCTCGAGTCCCTCTGAAAAAAAGGTCCTCTAGAGTAGCAGGCACTGTCCTCAGCTCTAAACGGCACTAATCCCAATGCCAGTCAGCCCTTGGGCTGGGTTTGCTCTTTGGTTCTCAGTGCTCATGACCACAGAACCTGTTTCCTTTTGGGAGTTTATCTGTCTGGGGTTAATTAGGCTGAGCAAAGGGCCAGTGGGTGCAGCACTAACTTCTCCATTCTCTAGAATGTTAGAGATGAACTATTGCATTTGCAGGTATATGCACCTGCCACACGCACACCAGACATTCAGGGAGCACTCCTGAACCTCCCCCTACCTTCCCCATGTCCACACAGGCAGTAACTGGGCTTGCTGCCTCTGAGCCTGTGCGCCAGCCCAGGTGGGCCAAGGGAAGAGGTGCCCGCCCAGGCACAGAGGGAGGAAGGCACCACCCCAGCTCCCTGCACAGGTTGGCTGGCCACAAGTTGGGGTCACCTTCTTTTGTCCTCGTTCTTGCTCTGCAGAAGAACAAAGCAAATGTGATCAAACACACAAACTGTGGAAGGCCCGGGCTCTCTCATCCTGTTAAGGGGAAGCCCCATGCTCAGTCAATCTTGTCTCAGAAGTCAGAACAAAGTGGGACCCACGGGTAGGGCTGGCTCCCAGAGGAGGAGGGAAGGCCTCATTTTACAGGAGCACAGGCACTGGTGTGGGGGATAAGGCTCTGGGTTTCCAACACAGTGGGAGACAAATCTGTTCCTCTTGTCTTTTAGAAAAAAAGCAGGACCCACCTCTGAGGTTGTGGGGAGCCATCGGCAGCTGCCACAGCCTCTTGGGGGCAGCAAAGAGTAAGACCCCTCAGCGGGGAGGCTAGAGGGAGCCGGCCGGTGAGCAGAGTCCCATCTGAGGTCCTGTGCCCTCCTCTCCCAATGGTGTTTGCTCTGGCAGCTTCAATGCATCTCAGAAGGTTCCAGAAAGTGACTCCTGCATCACAGCTGAAAGTCTCTGCATCCTGCGTTCAGGATGTCCTTCAGCAAGCTGGCTCATTAATCATTTATGTCGTTAGTGTCATGCTTTGCACACCTGTGGGTCTCGCCTTGTCAGCAGTCTGGTTACCACCATGCCCCTGCCCTGAAGCCCAGAGAAGTGGGTCATGAAAACACCCAGTTAGGGCAAATTTCATGCAAGCAACAGGAATTCCATTTCATTTAAAAATAGATGGGAAAAGCTCTCAGGCTCAAGCCATCTTTGCCAAGACTGCATCGACAGGATTCCAGAGAGGAAGAGTGGAAAAATTCAGACGCACATGACGCCCGACTCCATCTGGGGAGAGTGCTCTACCTGGCTTGGGCAGCAGCCTGGCTCCAAACCGGGCGCTGTCCTTTCAGCACCCAGCGCTGTCCGCGGTCCGGAAGCTTGCAAGCCCGGCCAGGCTCCTGCCTGCTCCTCTGGGCAGGCACTGTCTCCGGCTCCTCCTGGGCCCACGTCCTCAGGCGGCACTAAGCAGCCAGAGAAGGTGGATGCTGAGCTGATGAGCAGGCACTGCCCGCTGCTGTACCAAAGGCCAGCTCGGAGTTCCCCGAACCCCACCTGCCCCCAGAACCCTCCGTGTGTTCCTTCCCCACCAAAAAAAACACACCACAATGGCCTGTGGCCACTTGCTTCCCTGTGTGGCTCCCCCATACTTGTGCCTGTGTTGCCCACTGCCCTCTAAAGCCTGGAACCGACAGAAGCTGCTCAGGGAGGAGACCAAATCAAAGCATCTCTGGTGAGTTCCCTCTTTGGAGAACTTGCACAGCAGCACTCCTTCATGGGCAGGCCAGGGAGCAGGATTACTTTCTGGAAACCCACCATCCTGTCGCCTTGGCCTGAACAGCAAACTTGGGGGATCAGGACTCAGACTTAGGGAAGCAAGGGTGGATGAAGCCCAGCCTCCCCGGGCTGTCCAGGCAGGACCACCAGCAGCACCATGGCAGAGGCACAGTGCAGAATGTGTTGGGCAGGAGAAAGCAGTTCCCACCAAGCAACCCCAGCTCTTCTGCTCTGGACTCATGGAGAACACTCACGTCCACATATTTGGCCATCCTGAGTTCCGTGGGCCACTGGCCTCCAACAGCAGCACACATGGACACTGACAAGCAGTTTTCCATTTCACCTCACTCCCTACCCCATCTCCTCCCACCCAGTCACAGCATCCCGGGGAAGACAGATGAGCCAGCAGAGCCCAGAAGGGAAAGTTCCACCAGCCGCGAAACTAGACTTAATCTGGGGAAATGAGAAGAGACAGGTTCTCAATCACTCAACCTGGGTCAGAGCTGTTGTTGTTTTAAGCCTGTAATTAGGACCACAGGAAGTGCCTGCCTAGCTGAAAGCCCCAGCTGCCCCCCAAGGAATTTTCCGTTATTAGGAGGAGGAGGGGCTATGTTACCCAGCTTGTAGGGAGCAGGGAAGCGAGGGAAAGATTTAAGATACGAAGGCATTGATTTTTTTAACCATCTTACACTAACACCTATTGACTAAAGTCAATAGAAATTTAATTTATAGTTTTCTGAAAAGGGCCAGGACTCTCAATAAGCTCCCCCAGCCCCTGGCAAACCATCTAATTGCGTGAGGAAATAGACTTGTATTTCTCAGCTATCAATGCCTTGACTATCGGAATCCCTGTCTCCAGTGACAGCCAGCAACAAGGCCGGGCATGAAAGTGGCCCTGAAGTATCCAGAGAGGGTGGGATTCAAGCTACAGCCTCTGGGTCCCGGAAGGAGCTCGCTGCACAGCGATGCTCTGCGACAGCAGCACCCTCGTCCTTGCTGGCCCAATTCTGTGTGTGGCACCCATGCACCACTTCCCATGCCTCTCCGTTGTCCCTGTCCTGTTGCAAATAAAATGTGAGGAACACAGAGCCCCACAGCTCATCTGGGGTGTGGCTGGGTCTTCCACCGAGTTCTGTGTGCCCACGCTCCCCTGAGACTCTGATGCTACCCAAATACTTTAAAACTATGGCAGCCTCGCCTGTGGGATCCAACCCTACGCTTGCTCTGGGACCACACCCGCCTCTGCTGTCAGGCTACTGCCCAGCACACTTTCACCCCATGCCTTTGCAGACTGTTCCCTCTGTTCAGAATGCTGTTGCCTCTCCTCATACAGGGTAGATGCTGCCTGTTCTCAGGGAGGCCCTGCAGGTGGGTCTTTGCTGAGGCAGGACCTCCCTGGCCCCACCACACTCGCTTGCAGGTCTGGTTTCTCGTCATGATCTGAAGCTGTCAGCTGAGACCGTCTTTCACTTCTTCAGTTGCTCACGTCCCTCTGCAGTGAGCTTGGGGAGGGGCCCAGGCAGCCCCTCAGTCTCCAGCCCAGCCCACTAAAGGGACTTGTCAAGGTTCGGTACTGAGTGAACTGTCACTTTGACCTAAGGCAGAAACTGTCTGCAGTCTTCATCCAGTCGTGCCCGGGGTGACAGACTGACAGACCCGGGGTTTAGGTGGCTCTGCCTGCTGGGGTAGACCCTGGGACATGGCAGTGGAGCTCAGCGCCATGGAGAACAGCTCCTGGGAACAGAGTGGCCGGCTGCCTGCCTACACACGGGCTGTCAGCATCTGCACCCTGGCTGCTCTCCCACTGCTGGCCCAGGCTCACTTGAGTGCCTCGCTTGGCCAGATGTCCAGCAGGCTTTGGACAGAGTGTCCAGCTTGGAGTGGCAGGGCCCACAGGCTGTCAGAGTTCATGCCCCTGCCTGGCCCCTTGCCCAACAAGGTCACCAAATGCCACATCAGGGGAATGATGCATAATGGCCGGGTTCTCTAAGCAGCCGATCAAGGACACACTGGCTAGACAGATGCTAGAGCCCTTGCTACTACCAATGGCTCAGTCAGGGCA